TGTCTGTTTGCTTGGGCTTAGTAGCACGTAAGTGATAGCACATCGAAGAAGAAGACACCGAAATGAAATGAGTTTGGCAAGTTAGATGTAAACTATGTTGGTTTTGTCAGTAAATATGGAAATGTAGAGAGAATGTTGGACCTGTCAAGCAAACTGGCTGAGCGTATAGCATTGAATATGACCAGCAGATCAGCTGCTCCTTCTCTGGAATCAGATATAACAATTTCAATGGCTATCAGACAAACAAATGAACATCATTCAGTCGCAGATGTCGCAGTTTACGACAGTCGCTTTGTTTCAGCGACGACAGTGGCGACAGCATGTGAAGAATGCCAACTGCTGTTGTCATCGTGTACCAAGGAGTGGTGACGTACGACCACGCCCACTGTGCTTTTGACTCAAGTGTCGCTGGTACCCTCTCAATGGTGTGACCGATTTACAAACGAAAGATGAGCAATCTCATTGTAGGTGGATGCTGTATTACTAAATGCATCAGGCAACCTCCTTATGATATAGTAAGTCATAATATTGAGTGATTATCATGTTACAAGTAACCTGTTAGCTTGTTCACGCCTCGTCGGTTCCAAATCTACTAAGTTCAACGTACGAGTAACTGTCAGTTTGATAAATTTCGAAAAAATGGTCACTTTATGTAATATAGTTTTATGAAACCCTGCGGAAGGGCTTATTTTTAAATGGCAAAAAACGGGCCTCTGTTACAAAGAGTACATTTCGAGGACGACGAATAACACACGACTCAAGCAAGACCAGACTTTCGTGACGTGTTGCACGCCATTGCTACTAATGACCCGGAGAAAAGGGGCTTTGTCGTTGGCCACGGCTGCACGGTATTCGAACACTTGAGCATCAGATGCAATTTGTATTACTTTGTCCGTTGCACCAACCACGCTCAGAAACAACAATGTTTCAGGCGCTCCTTAGATCTTGCGACATAAACGTCGTTCGTGTGCCGCAGTATGTCAAGGAAAGAGTGAGGAGCGGAAGAAAAACTGTAAAACAAAGGCGTGCTAAATTTAAATACAAACAGGCAAAAATACAGACTAACTTATGTACTCTAGAAATACTCTTTGGCAAGTTATTATTATGAAAACTTTGAAATAGTGCCTAAAACAAGAAAGTTAAACGATTACATAAACACGTCTGTTTCATAGACCTTTACAACAATCTTCATTGATCGCTTTTTGCTACGTGGCATCATCAACGCTCTGCGTACTCTATCATCACCAATGACGATTATCCATCAAATATCAGTGAGCATTCTTAATATTGGTTTGCTCATCAACACGCATCAGATTTTCGACCAATCGGTCACGTGTTCCAAATGGATAAGAAAGTTATTTTTCTAGGAGCAGTAGTGAAGGAATCAAAGGGTTCCTGAAACGTCATAGAACAAGTGGAAAGGAAGAAAGGTAAGAAATATGCGACCATTGCAGTAGCACGAAAGAAGTAATGATGTGTTGTACGTGGCTGGTTCTTTTGCCGTGCAAATTAAAGTGTAAAATTCGTATCTGATTTAATCCATGCGTCATTCTCAATCCGATCGATTTGTTTCCTACAATTTACTGTGGAAATAGTTATTCTTAGCAGTTTCCAACCACTTTACTTTAGTTTATATCCTAACTATTCCTTGATTCTGTTTTTTATGTCGATTTTTCCAAAGACTTCAGGAGGTCAACCAACAGCTTCAGGGTCATGACACACCTACGTGCCCACCATAACTCAGAGCGGCTCTGGAGAACATATGCCTGCATTGTCAATCCTCAAACTTAGTCCCGCAATTTGCATGATACGAAGATGCGGGTTAAAAGCTTCAGACACATCAGGCCGGTTAAAAAAGGGATTTATGGTCTGGTTAGTGTATTCTAAAAATGTTTTAATCAGTAAATCAGTAATAAGCCACTTTTTGAACGCTGTCCGGTACGAACACCTTCTGGGAGCAACGAAACATAAATCAATAAGTACTTCTTCAGGTTTGTGATTCTGGGCCCATGGTGACATACATGGTTGTTTGAATGATTCCCTGTTCAAGGCACAAAATACAGATGGTAAAGAGTTTAATGCCAACGCGTTTCTCTGCACAGACTGCAGCATCATCAGGGCTGGACTGAGTGCAATGACCTCTTGAAGGCATTTATGTCCAACAAGCGAACAATGCCAATTTATCAATAAAGTAAATTAAATTGGCACTGTTCGCTTGTTGAACATAAATGCCTTCAAGCAGTCAATTGAACCCAGACCAGCCCTAATGATGCCGTGGTCTGTGCAGTGAAACGCGTTGGCATTAAACTATTTACCTTCTGTACTTTGCGCCCCAAACCGTGAATCATTCAAAAAAGCATGCATATGAAACGTAAATGAATTTATGTGATATGGAAAAGCTTGTGCACAGAAGCGAAATTTCACGCCACATTTTCTGTCATTCCCAATCTGTAGGCATTTACTCTCGCAAGGAGCTGTGCAAGGGGTCAGCTAGTCTCTCTAAGCTCCAGCGTATTTCTCTGAACATGCTACGTAGACCACAGTTTGATTCGATGTTCACTTTTACACCACTCCTGTTGACAGTTCCATGGATAATATGATGATGTGCAAAGAGGTCAGCAATTTCGCTTTGTCTGTTTCTTATATGTTATGATCCCATCTCAGTCCTGTTGGTCCACATTCTTCAGAAAAAATACTCTTTTTTTAACTGTTTTTCACTGCCATGAATTTTCAAGTTGTGTCGATATCAGAAATTTGTTTGTGGTCATATTGACGTTCAAATGTTTATTTTCTGGCCACTGCATCCGACTAATTTTAGTTACCGATTTTTGGTAAAATCTGATCTAGATTCGACTGTAAACACATATAGTACTGTATTCTACATTTTCCCATATAATGCATATTTCAGTGATAACTCTTTTTCTGTAGCTACTCAACTCGTCCACTGAATCACAGCGAAATTGAAAAGCGTCGTCGGGACAAAATGAATGCACACATAATAGAGATCGGTTCTTTGCTACCCAGCAGCTATAACGCAACCCAAAGGTTGGATAAGTTGTCGGTACTGCGCTTGGCATTGCAGTACATCCGACACATACACGGTAAGACTATC